GGGGTTTAGTGTTTAGGGTTTGCGGGCTTACGGTTTAGGGTAGCCCTGAAACCGGAAAGCGCTGCAGTGTGTTGAGAGTTGGGGACATTTAGCGACCGAGCTAGAGTCATACTTGAGCGCCTACAGTCTGAGGTGTAGCGTGTCGGAATCTGCGCGCTGTCAGGCTCGAATCCCAGGCTCAGCATCCTCGAAAATCTCTGGCATCCAGCATGGACAAGAAAGCACGGAATGTCCAAATGCCCTGGGGTGGGAACTCTATACATACACTGACTATAGGGTGTTCTACGTAGCCTGACCATAGCGGCAAAGCGTCGGTGTTCAACATCATCTCGTGGCCATCGAATGACGTGTCACGGCCTGCAGGGTGATTGCTACAGGTACCAGCCTTCTTCTGGGCCCACGAGGCTTTCGCGCTAGTCGCAAACTCCGAATGGGTTTAGGGTTTAGGGTTTAGGGAGCCTTGATAAACGACACAGAGACCTTTGCAACCTGATCACAAACATCCAGCAAACTGCTTTGACACCATTGAAGCTCCGAGCCCTAGACTAAACCTCACCCTGAACCCTGGAAACCATACATTTGTTAGTAAGCCAAAACATACCCCAAGCACTTTCAACGTCAAGAACTGAAACTACCAATAACTGTCTGGTGCTTAGTAGGGAATGGGGGAATGGATCCCTATGATAGTCCATTAAGGTCCCTTATAGTAGTCCCTATAATCCATTCCCCCATTCCCTACTAAGCACCAGACAGATCAAACCCTAAATCCTAAACCCTAAACCCCGGGTTGTTTTGACCCGCCGACCCACGTCGCTCCGCTCCCACTGATTCTTCGCGGCATTGCCCGAAATGGCCCGCTCCGGCACCCAGCCCTGAAAGCGAGAGTTATGCTTAGGGGCCACATAGGGGTTTGGGGATTGGGGCTCAGAAGGGTTTAGGGTTTAGGGTTTAGGGTTTAGGGTTTAGGAAACAGGCTTGAAAATTATGGTTCATATCGGGGTTTTGGGTTTATAGACAACTTTTGGGCTTACTGTCCAGCCTAAAGGGATCAGGGTTCTGTGTTTGATTCATGTTGTGTGTGCATTGTACAAAAGTATCACACCTTCACGTTCAAGTGTGCAGGCAATTTTGAACAAAGTACACACGTACCTACATGCCTACCTACCTACATGCATGCATACATACTTGCTTTCTTGCAGACTTACTTACTTACACACATGCATGTCTATGCGTACATGCATACATGCGTGCTTACATACATACGTACAACATACATACATACATACATACATACATACATACATACATACATACATACATTATGCATACATGCAGGCATCCACGCAAGAATGCAAGCATGAACGCATGCATACATACAGTGGTACTGTTGTATGATTCGACACACACACAGATATATGTATGTATGTATGTATGTATGTATGTATGTATGTATGCATGTATGTATGTATGTATGTATGTATGTATGTATGTAGGCATGTACGTATGTACGTATGTTTGCTTGCTTGTTTGCATTCTCATGAAGCTCGTTAACCTTGGTCTTTACCGCACTGCTCTTACATTCTCAATCGGCTTCTCTATCTTTAGGCTGTTCAAAAAGTAGTTCGAGAACATATTATATGTGGTTTCATCCTTCAAATCCTATATAGACCTTAAACCCTAAACCACAAACCCTAAACCCATCGAAGGCGACGACGGGCACTGGGGCTTCAGGCGAGCCTTTGGGATGGGTTTGTTTAGGGTTTAGGGCTTGGGCGTTTAGGTTTAGGCGTTTAGGGCTTAGGCGTTTAGGGTTTAGGGCTTAAGGTTTAGGCTTTAGGAGTTTAAGGGTATATAGATTTGGAAACCTGAAGTCCCAAAAACCTCATCCCTGAGCCCGAAACCCTCTAAGCCCGCAAGCACCCTGAGCTCTCCACCCAAAAGACCCAACCTTGGCCAGCAGGGACACGAAGTAGTCGTTGTTGAAGCGCCGCGAGTTCTCTGGATCGCTCCACCAGCCATGGTAGCCTGAGTTGCTCACCTGACTATACTTAAAGGATCTTGGGACTTAGTAAGTAAGGTTACAAATCCTTTAATTGGGGTTATAAGTAGAGTTACCTTAGTTACAACCCTACTTACTAAGTCCCATGATCCTTTAAGTAGGGTTTGTCCAGGTTCGTGTGGGTTTCTACAAGGGTTGCCTACTGGGTTTTACTAAGACTCTATACGGCTTCTGCCTCCGCAGATCATGGATAAGCAGCTACATTGCGCAGTAAAGTGACAGTAGCGTGTTTGGTTTCGCGTCTTATTGGCATTTAAGGGCATCGTCAGGAAATTGTGAGTTTTTCGCAGGCTCTTAGGGTAAGGTGGGGCACAACCGAACATGAAGCCATTGATGGCAATACCAAGTAAAAATTCTTTCGACCGACTTGGCTATGGGTCTGGGCAAATATTGCAATGCTTTTCAAAGTCCTATGGCATTCTGAAAGCTACATCTTTCGAGGCGATGTAGCCTTCAGCTATCGTTTGCAGACCGTCTGAATCATGCGAACTGCCACATGGGACGCCCAAAACTCTGAAGCCTAAACCCTAAACCCTAACTGAGCCCTTGAGCCGCAAGCCCTCCCGGCACCTGTGCACGGCCCAGTGTGTGGACGGCCATGAGGGCGGCAGCCTCCGTCCAGTCCAGGCCCATGTTGTCAACAAAGGTCTCCTCTTCTTTGCGGGTGAACTAAAGCTTCTATAAAAGGCTCTAGGGTTTGGGGTTTAGGGTTTATGGTTTAGGGTGAATTAAAGCTTCTATAAAGGGCTCTAGGGTTTAGAGTTTAGGGCCTTGCTTTCGGGTGAACTAAAACTTCTATAAAGGGCTCTAGGGTTTGGGGTTTAGGGCATTGCTGTCGGGTGAATTAAAGGGTTCTATAAAGGGCTCCAGAAGGTTCAGCCTTCGTTCTCAATAAGGATCTAGGCTGCGCCCTGTAACAGTCTATATAAAGGGTCATATCAAGGGCCATATATATATATATATATGTAACTGCTAAATATTCTATCTAACTGTTACAGAGTGGGGCCAGTACCCAAGGCGTAGGGTTAGCGTGTATAGCTTAGCTTAGGTTTGGATGTGTTCAGGGTTTATGCGGTTTAGGGGGCTTTAGGGTTTAGGGTTGAGGGGTTAGGGGTTTAGCGCTTACAGTTTGACCCTTCAGATATTTTGTTTGTCTTCCGCCCAAACGGTTCCAAGTACCCAAACAGTAGGTATGACTCGCCCTTAAAGTAAGTTATACACTCCCTTGAAAACCTAATCTGTGCATAAGTGCATATCACCCAAAGACTGAACCTAAACTCGGTCAGCTTCCCCACAACAGCTGAAGACCGAAATCTGTGCATCCCCACGCGTTCCTCCACAGCCTGGCAGCCTCGCTCCGGGTTCGGCAGGCGCCCTTCGGCAAAGGCGCAGCTCAGCGCCGTGGTGCGGCCGAAGCGGAAGGAGGACTTGAAGTCGAGTTGGGGCGCTGACGACGCCTTCGCAGGAAGAATTCTGATGTACTTGGAGGTTCATGGGTAGCTATAAGTGGGGTCATAAGTCCCCAAATACGGGTTAGACGTATAGTTGCCCTACTTATAACCCCCATTTACAACTACCCATGAACCCCAAGCCCTAAACCCTAAAACCTAAAACCTAAACCTTAAACCCTAAACCCAAACCCTTATAATTATAGTAACCCTATTTATAACTACCCATGAAACCCCCAAGTAGGGGCCTTGGCTTTCTGGGGTATGCTTTTCAGGCCGAATTACTTTGGGACTACAAGGCGATAATACTACGAGGCCACATCTCCACATAATATTAGGGTTTAGGGTTTAGG